GTACATCCATAAAAGTCGAACCGTGTTTTAAGCATATTCGTCTTTATCCTAAATACATCAAATGCCTTTATCCATATCCGTAAAACTAATTCAATTGTTGAATCGTTTTCGAAATGAAATGCACGTCTTTTTTTGTCCATCTCTTGGGAACGTTCGGAATCAAGAACGCACTCGATTCGAAGTCCCAAAGAAAAAGAGAACTATCGCAAAATGCCAGCGATCCCCTCTGTTATTGTTCAGGGACACTTGTTAAAGATTTGCCATGTAGAGACCGATAAAAGAGAAATAAAACGACCGCTTAGGGTCCTCGGCTGTCCCGTAAGGGTTCGACTCCAAGCTCGAGTTATGGACGGAATTCAATATAAAAACAGTAAACAGCTTCACTCTTGGATCTCGGAACTTAGTTATCTGCTTTTTTGAACTCTATTTTCGATTGATAGGCAGTTTCCATTTGGTGTTTAGGAGTTTTCTGCAGCAATTGTAATAAAATCATTGGATTTTCTCTACCTATACCGGGCGAGCCCTCACGGTGGTATATGGATCTGATCATTGCAATATTTTTGTTTTAGGGCATTTTTAGAATCATTTGAAACTGTTCAAAACCTTTTAGAACTGCCCAGAATCTTATTAGAAATGTCTAAGAACTGATGTCATTTGAACAAATTTAGGCTGATCATAGAAACATTTAGAACGAGGAGAACAGATTCAGAATTATTTGGAACACCCTAAGATAAACTAGAGCAGTTAAGGTTCATTTAGAGCCATTTAGAACTTCCTTTTAGAACTTTTTAATGATCATTTAGAACTTTCTTTCAGAACTTGTAGTTGTAGACCATTTAGAATATATCATCATAATTATTGACTAATTTTATTGGTAATGTAAAATCTTGTAAAATCAACTTAAAAATCGACAAATATTTTAAAAGAATCCTATAAAAATCTTATTTGTTGCAAGCCGACTCTGTAGAACGATCAAGTAGATTCTAAATTGGAAAAAAAATCATTTCAAAAACTATTAAAAAACCTCTCAAAGGAGTTATCTACTGAGTGTTTATCTGTACACATACTTTTTACTTTTAAAGTATCTACACAAATTAATTATTAGAAACTGTTAAATTTCAAATTAAATTTTTATGTCAAATAAACCGTAACAGAAAATGAAAGCTCGGTTTAAAGCTGAAGCTTTCAAACTCGGAGCGCCATAATATAAATCCAACCGAAATTGAGCCACCAACGCCACCAAGTTTATTACACTGGAATGAATGGCTATTACGTTACGACTGCCACCTAGCCGTTAGCAGTCGAACTATAAAGCATATAAGCGGCATAATGACTATCGGTTAGTCGGATTCGAAACCGATTCCACGGCGATAACTGCAAACTTGAATGGCGGGAACGAAGTTTTTTGTATCGTAAAATAAAAGTGTGTATAAACAATAAGAGGTACTTAATATTGACGAGTGCGCCTCACGTACGGCGTTTCGTTATGATTTTTAATCGACTGTTTGTGTGAAATAATGCATAATTTAATTGTTAGGAAGTATATATTAATTTATGGGATTGGAGTCGTTAGGTTTATTTAATTATCACCAGAGGGCTCTAGTGGTTTATTCAGTTTCGAGTTTCGTATGTTCCAAGTTTTGAAGTAGGTAAACTTTGTATATTCCTAAATGCAGATACAAAAAGTATAAACAATTTTTGGAGAAAAAGAATATATGATTATTGATTAATTTAAAGAAAAATTAGGCGAATTATAAATAATATAATATAGTAATAAAATAAATCTAAATTATTAATAATAAATATAAATAATTATGTAGTAAATATAGTAAAAGAGTTACTTAAGAGCTGCAAAAAACAAATTCTTTTTTAATTTAAATTGTTCTTAAAAATTTCGTTTATAAATAATATACCTATATACCTAATTATTTTTATAGCTTAATAATGCCTTAGCCGATTTAGCGATTAAAATCCTACTATAAGTAAACGTGCTCGAAATATTGTAGGTATTATTTTTATGAGAGACACGCGGCCTCCGACTATGTCGCATATTAAAAAGAGGAATAATATGAATTTATTATGCACATAAAGAGACAATCTGAATAAGAATGCCAGATGGATTCTCTTGTAACCTGATAAAACAGCAAGAGCGTCCACCTGAACATGTTTATCGGATATGCAAAAAGATTTTTCCCCAGAAATTCAACTTATGAATTAACAATGGAACAAAATAATATTATAACAAGAAAGTAAATACCTATCACAATAGCAAAATATCTGCACGCATTCCTGTTGTCACTCTTATCTATTAATTGGTCACCAGCCGATTGTGATGTATCAAATAGTAAACGAAGCACACAGCACCGTTTCTAGTGTTGTTAAATGATCGAGGACGTGAGTTAGTTTTACAACCTTGTCGTTAGATCATCACCGGCCCGGGGACCTGCTGAAACAAGATGGCCATCACGTCACCGGGCTCTCCGTGTTATGGCCACGTAAGATTTATCAGCGTGTAGCCCAGTAGGTGACTTTTGTGAGGATCAACCTTTGTCAGATTGCAATGGCTTCGACGGTATTTGATTAATGGGACGCTCCGAAAGGAGGGGTTGATATTTTCGAATCGTCAATGGCTTCATTTAAATATGTATCGAGGGGTGAACATAACAATTACGGGTTTCGATGTTATAACAACGTGTCGTGGAAGTTTTAATGAAGTGTTTGTAAATCGATTCTTTAAATGCGTAAAAAATTATCTACCTGTTATTTATAAAGCTGCTTCTTTACTTGGTAGGTATTTATAATTAGTGCTGAAAATCCTGTTGGGTGAATTTAATTATTCAATCAATGCAATTAATTCTTAATCTACTTTGGCATATATAAATATTGATAATACATATTTACGATGTATAATTATAAAGATTTATGATGACAAATTATATTCAGCTAATATATTGTAAACATTTTTATCTAAAATAAATAATTTCGTGACATTGAGTTCCGTGTTAAACAATTTATTAGTGCTCAATGTTCATTCTAAAATTTCTAGATTTTTGCTACTGAATTATTGCATAACTAGGGGTACAAAGTTTATATATTTTTTTAAAAATAATTGAACTTACACATTTAGAATCTTACATTTAGTGAAGACTTTCATTCTATCCTCTATCCTATCATCCTATCATCAAGAGTGCCATTATAGTTTCATTAATTTTAGTGTTTTTTAAAATTGTACATCAACGGTATCTACCCTTTAGGGAACATTATTACATCTATTCCTGATAACTTACACACCACCCAGCGTTTCCCAGTGCCTAATTATAGCCGCTGTCTGCGATATTAACGAATAAACTTTAGACTCCCCTTCTTCTGCTCCCTTGAAATATTTTTAATCCTTATAGTCGTTACCTCTAAGCCTCCAATTTCTTTTATAGCTGTTTTATATTTTGTCCACGACTCTTAGCATCGATTTTTTTCTATACTATCTTGTGTAAGTTGTGGAAAACCAATAATAAATAATCGATTTATTTACTTTTGCATCTAGTACCTATCTAGTATTATTATTATTACGTGTCTATTAGTTCTCTATTCTATCAGTTTTTTTACCCATAGGTACACGGGATGTGTATGCACAAAGTGGATTTAAAAAATTGATTCCAGTAACTGTTTAATTTTCCTATACTAAATACCTATATGTTTATTTTTAATATTTCTCCAATGGCATTTATCCAAATTAATAGTATTTAATATTTGACCTAATTTAAAGATCAGATATACATATGCGTATACGCAAATATTGAATGACTGTCAAGCGATGTTTCAGACGGCGTGAATAATGTTCTGGATCATATTTCATCATTAACAACATTAATGTATGTAGGTATTTGCGATTTTTAAAACGAAAGAAAACATTTAACTCCGATATTTACTAATGGACTAATGGACGAATGGGTGGATTTAGTAAAAATCTCCTATGTTTTACTCATACGTATATTAGTAAAATGCCTGATGAATCTGAAGAAGAAGATATAGTGAACAACGTAATCTCTGTTTACCAAACGTGTTTCGGCGAAAGTAAAATGGATTGTTCTAAATTATTATCCGATGACAATATCACGTAGATGCAGGCTTTGTTTATTCGGCGAAGAAATTCAAATCGATAATTAAATTGATTAATAATCCACAATTTATGTTATGTAGAACTTTATCAACATTCAGATCTATTAATAATTTAACCAAATTTAATTACTAATTACTACTAATTTAACTACCACTTATTTCTAGATTCAAGTTTGTCATCAAACAGAATTTAATTATCGATTTTCTTTTAATTTACAATTTACACCATAACAGTCTATAACTTATATCAAATCTACTTAATAAAACATCAGCATCAGATAAAGCTAATAAATAGCTTAGAAAAATTACCGTCCTCAAAGAACCGGTTAGAAGCAAAAAAGAAAATTAAGATAATTGTATTTCCATTGGACCATTCTTAATTCTCTGAGTTTATAAGCAGAAATTTGGATTGTGGCGGCGGCGGTGTGAAAGTCACCCTTTCCGTATAATTACTTGGCAAGAGAGACGGCCCGATAGGATTGCATTTTGGCGAGTCTTCCGCGAGTGGATTACACCCTCCTAACTTCATAATTGATCAATTTAATTGCATTTCTTACGCAAGCCGTGTTATTCATTTCGAATGACACAAACGGAATATTAACGAGGAAGCGGGCGCGACTCTATATTAACATTTGAAACAATTGTATTTGTTCGATATACATTAATATAGTAATGAATATTTGAGTATGTAAAAGTTGTTTTATTGGTTATTGGGTTTTATTGTCATATTAACCATTAGCGCTTTTTATCAATGCAATTATCTTCTATTTATGAGTGTTCTAATTTGTTTTAATAGATATTACAGAAAGTATCAATTTAATACAACCTAAGAAATGAATAAAATAGTAGGTATTTGTCTAATTAAAAGAAAATTAAATTTGGCTTAATTGTTTTATAGTGAATAAGAATTCGAAGAACAAAATCAATAGGTACAATAATCGTATATAACTAATTGTATACTGTTAACGTTAAAATATTATATCATGGTAATTTGGTAGATAATTTACTACCAGAAAAATTAATAAAAAACAATCAAAAATAATATTGTAATATTCACCTTAGGTGAGTAGGATGGGTTGCTCCTCCGTAGAAATTTCCTCCGGCAGCCACTAGTTTTGTTCTATCACTTGCGCTGCGGCCTGTGCCGCCGCTTTCTGCGCCTGCGCCTGTTTTTCTTGTTCGTTGAGTTCTATAAAACAAAAAAAAACATTATTTACTAAACAAAAACTACCAAATTACCGAAAATAATATTCTACAGCTCCCTAGCCACATGGTTTACAAAACCATGTTTTCAGTTATCATTCTACATTCTTCAGACAGTCAATCAGATCTGCTGCTTTATATTTAAGATCCAAAATTTCTAAAGTAGAAAAAAAATATGACTTACCTTTAATGGCTTGAATTTCTTTTTTCAGTTTCATGCGCCTATTTTGAAACCAGATTTTTATCTGTCGTTCCGTCAAACATAACGCATGCGCCATTTCGATGCGTCTCCGCCGCGTCAGGTAGTGATTCGTGTGGAATTCTTTTTCGAGTTCTAGCGTTTGATATCGCGTATACGTTTGTCGGCCTCTTCGTCTCAGACCGTTTGCTCCTGCAACAAAAAAAAAACGATTTTGTTAACAATATGTAACTTGCACGATACTGGAAGCTAACGACAATAAAAATATGATAATAATGTATTCCTGGTATACTAGACATCTTTGTTATAAAGTTTTGTGCTTGATTGATAGGTTTATTTATGTTTTTGATACATAAAGTAAAGTAGGAAAAGTCAAGTTCCATTAGGTATGTTATTATCAACCCTTTCAAGTATTTTGATTTATTATTATTGCCGTATAAACTTGGACATAGGGCAAAAACTTCTTGTATGGACAATCTTTCAGTTCTATAAGTACTGAATTAATCAGATTACAAAAAAACTTACAAAGTTATTCCTAAGAAAAGCAACAATCTCTATTCCTAGTTCTATTTACCGCTAACTTTTATTCAATTTTCTCCTCCCACAAAGGCGTTAAAAACTATAATTCCATTAACAAAAGTAAACAATAAAGGCGATTTTTCAATTGTATATCTGATGAAAAGTGTCGGTATTTCTGAATAGCAAGTAGCTAGATAAAAAAGAGTTTAAATTCGTTTGTGTTTAGTTCCTAAGGGCTATAAGATCGTGATTGAAAGCGAATACCACAGGATAAATTTCAAGAGACCAATCCTTAATTCAGCCTCTTGCCTAAGTCCAGGTTTTAAAATGTAATTCAAAGAGTGTTTGCGATACTTTCGGATCGTGGCTAAACGAAAATAAAAATCGATTAGTTTTTTTATCGATAGGCGAACTGATAATTGCAAACATTATAAGTACAAAGCAAGAATAAAAAGGGGCACAATACCTCTCTCTCCGATCGATTATTGGCGATGCAAGATAAAATAACTTCAATATCATAAGATTCACGGTCCTTTTTGTTATGCTATTTTTCTTCGGACTGCGAAAGCGCAACCTCAAATCGTGTTTCCAGACCACACAGTACGATAACAATTAACAAGAATTTCTATATCGATTTGTTGCAAAACGGTAAATAAAGAAAAACGAGAATCGTTTATAAAGCGATTTCATCTGCCTAATTATTATTTTCGTACGTGTTACGATACACCCACTTAATCTTTGACATGTTGTTATTATAAGGGTTATAATTTAAATGTGCAAAAAGCAAAAAGAAATTGTACGTTGCCACGATGTAACACCACTCGCAATGTATAATCTTTCACAATTATATTGGAGCTTGTTAATAAAAGTTGCATTTAAAAATGAGTTAGCCTCCCGATGGGCTACTATAATTTTACGCGTTCGCTAATAAATCATGTTCGCAAATACATTTTTTCGTCGGTTTATCATTCATTTTTCGAATTGTAGACGTTAATTTAGAGAACAATAGGACCGCTTCGAATATACAGGTTACCTACCATAAATCGAACGGAACGTCAGTTAAAAATTGTTGTAATTTTCAAAACTGAATACATAAAATAACGCCAATCGTCAAATTTAATTTTTATATCCTCTTTTTTATTCTACACCTACCAACTATATTTTTCGATATATATTTAACGATTTATTACCTATATATTTTTACAAACCCGACAGAATCAGTTCAAAAAATTTCGCTCTCCAACTAAAAATCGAAATAAATCTCGAGCAAATACAAAACCGAAGCGTTCACATTAAAACTCTGCGAGCACATCCCACACAAACGCGCCACCGAACATTCGAACATTGCCATTTCTAATTAAAAAAATGTGCAATGGAGTGTCAGCCGAGTACACGATATTCTAGAGAACTGCGAAGAAATCTCCAGATGGCGACCACTCTTCTTTTTTTTACTTTCGACTTTTCCTAAACGTAACGATATGATTGGTGTACGAGTCCGATGTCCTGGTGATGCCTCTCTCCCGGGATGAATTTCTAGTTAGGGTTTGACAGTGACAAAGATCTTTATAGTTGGTCAGGTAAGAAGAACGCAGAGCCGGACTTGAGTGATTTGCACGAGTGAAAGTTTGAACATTGGTAGAAACTTTACATTAAAAATGATCTATTTGTACATTGTAATTTTTCTGGTGCAATAGGCAAATTTTAAAAATATATCTACCTACATATAAATTCATCGAATTTAGTACTTAAATGTACCCCAAAATTCCTTACGAAATATGTTGAACACATGCACATCTTCCCAGTCAAAAAATATGTGCGTCGGATGCTCCGGTTGATTTATTATATTAAAATATATCATATCTAATGCCTACATGTATTTTACAAAATTACAAAATCGGAAATGTAAATTCGTGACATAATGTTTAAAGTCACATATAGTTAAATGCCTTTATATTCTCATGAATATTTAACCTACTTGCCTTCTCTTTTGTATGATACATTTATGCTAATTTTTAAATGCACCTATAACAAGATTTTGTTGAATTATATTATACGTAAATAAATATTGTGTATATACAGTTCGGAACATTAAGTTGGACAAATAATTTCAAATTTAGTAACGCGTCGATGCTAATATAGTCAGTGACAAATTTTCCGGGCATTCTAGTATAAATATCCCACACCAACGATATTTATTGTATTCCTGTAATATACAAAGCCAATACGTGTACAATATAGAATAATGTACTGCCCCAACAGTCACATCTATTTCGTAATTGTGTTTACATCACGCCAGCTCCATACTATTGGACGTCGGCGTCGCGTTCGTAAACTTTACTGCCCCCATATAAACTGCCAATTCTGGGGTAGCAAACTTAGTTTGCCAAGTGGCTAGCACTAAATAAAATTATGTGCCAATTATTTTAACCCCGGTCGCCCTGCGGTTTGTCTATTACCCATTAATTTTTATCCGCTGTCTAAGACGATAACAATACTTCTAACACAGAAACGGATTTGTATTGATTCTCGCGACGAAATTTAACCGAGTTAAAACAATTAGGGTATCGAATGAGATTTTAATTGAGCCTACAATAATAGGTAGGAATACTTCAAACTTTTTCGTTTTAAATTAAGCTGGCGCTGTTTCGTTGAAATATTATTCTTTACTTTTTTACAACTGCCTCGCCATAATGCATTTATATAGCGTTTTATCTCATCCCTCGAGACGAGGGCGTTTCTTTTTTTGTTTTAATTGGAATAACCTCGATGGCGACATAAAAATAAAAAAGTAATAGAGGTATAGGTGATAAGGGAGACTTAAACTCCAGGGGTTCATTAATTATACTAAAAAGCAACGTTACTATATGGAAAGTTACAATTAAGTAACGTCACAATATTATTCAGTTGAATTATGCATTAGCAGGAGTAGATTTTGTAAGTTAAATTATGTAATATTAGGTGAAACTCAAGCAATCCTCCAATAAGGGGTTATTTGTCAACACAGTAAATTTCTAGCTAATCTGACCAGTAATATACACATACATCGGAAAACCTGTGGAAAGGGAACGTTCATGTGTGCCAGTTAATGCGAGGAAAGTCGTAATTAGTGCCATTTATTAGGGGCCAACGGGCGTGACCGGACGGAAGCCATAGATAGTCAATAATTCAGTGATTTCGCCTGAGTATGAGGCGTTGAGGCTGCGAGGCCGTACCCCTGCGTGTCGGGCCACAAAACACAAAATGCGTATATCCCATTCGCGCCCCAGATGTTTCCAGTTTGCGTTAGGAACCAATGCTACCGATGGCAAATACATGATTTACCGGCGCTGTTTTACAAACCATAAAAGTCAGCCTTAAATTAACTAGGTAAATTATAACTAATTTAGGTCTTGGAATTTGATTTAAATTGTACAGATGCGCTCGGGATTCGTTCGTTCGGTTGATGAGATGCACGTGTTGCGTTTACACGCACCGCGATAGTTTCGAAGGTGCGAGAATGATCTATTTTCTATTAGTCCGTTGTTCCCGTTTTCGACTAAAACACGCGAAGGCTTTCCGGTTCTTAATTAAAAGAAATATTTATCTCGTCCATGCGAAGCCCATCGATTGCATAATCCGATGAGGAATGTATTTCCAGCGGAGGAAAGAAATAAATCCTCGTGCATCGCGAGCTCGATGCAAACTTCAGAAACACAATGGAATTGAAATTTCTAGTTATACGTTTGCAAAGCAACTGTACTGGGGTTTGTTGTTTTGCGACGATAACTCTTTCACGAAACATTTCAGCGGAGCCAATTTAGCCATCACATCTAACACAAAGACACATTCGAGCTAATCTCATAAGTAAACTGGTCGATCAATCTTCGACGTCATTGTTTTTGCTCATATTCCATTTCGAGCCGGCTCATGCCTACTAAATTTTCTTCTTAGCCGCGGGGTAGGAAACTTTTTGTCAGAAAAGTTATATAATCCTGATATTCCGGAAGTTATTTAACCTCATCTGTTTATTCGCTTATTCGGCAGCGGCCGTTCGTCTTTTCAGGCGCTCAGCTACACCATCGGTGGAGGAATATCCGCAAAAAATGATCAAAATTTCCACGAAATAAATAGCTCTATTAAGCCTACAAACTTATATCTAACAAGTAAGTAAATAAATTGAATACGAGGACTACAAATAATTTTTAATCTGTACTCGCAACACATTAAAATATACTTTTTGTTATATCAATATCCATTTTTATTTGTATTATGATGACACCCTGTACATCAATTACTAAAGGAAGAAATTTCGGCATAAAACACTAATATTTTTTGTGGTAAATTTCGTCAGGAAATTTTTTGATGTCGCTCCACAGTGCTGTACACGGATTTATGAGCGCGTTTTAATTGGGCCCCTATCTCGATCCCCCACAAATTGTTCCGAGACGCCCCACGCAATTCCTCAGCCATGCCCGAGCCTTCAGCCAGACTCAAAAATGGGGTGACGTGTATCATTCGGACTACAGGCGGCATCTTTTGCACCCTTCTTCGCCTTCTTCTCCGCCGGTATGCAACAGTAAGTGGAAGTAATATTACTTCCACGACATGCCTAACTTATTTATGAGCCGGTAAATTCGGGGGTGTGCGTTTGTGTTAAATTGGATAACAGCTCGATGCGATGCGAACCCTTGGAA